ATTTTTCTTTTATGCCAAAAGTCATTAGGATATTAAGTAAAGATCATGTTCCATGAAGATATTTTGTACATTTCCTACCGTAAATATATCAAAACTTCATTTTTGATTAGTAATATGCATTGCTAAGAACTTCATTTGAACAACTTTAAAGATGATTTTCTCAATATTTAGATTTTTTTGCACCCTCAGATTCCAGATTTTCAAATAGTTGTATCTCAGCCAAATATTGTCCTATCCTAACAAACCATACATCAATGGAAAGCTTATTTATTCAGCTTTCATGTGAGGCATAAATCTCAATTTCAAAAAATTTACCCTTATGACTGGTTTTGTGGTCCAGGGTCACAATTATGAACCGCAGCTGCTCTTTCAAACCACTGAACATGGCTTGTAGCAAATTGGAGATGTTTATTGTTGTTTACCTTTCGTACCAGTGTCCAGGCAGCTGGGTCGAACTGACTGTTTGGGAGAGGATGCTGGGAGCGAAAGGGGCGGGGCTTGATGTCGTGAGGACTGCGGAAAGCCCAGCTTCCCATTGGTCAGCAGCTGCCGGCGGAGGCTCAGTGCGGGAAGAAGGGCCGGGTTTCCAGATGTGGCATCGGGATGGAGCGATGGAGAACAGGAGTGACCCGTCTGGACCCTCAGGTGAGGAACCTGAGCCGTACCAGACGGAGAAACCAACAGGTTATAGCCTTTCCCATTCATGTCCGTCACTGGTCGACACAGAACACCATCTTCTGCGTTCACCTGATAAACGTGAAGCATAGTCAGATTTCAAACAGCTGAACATTCGATTGGAAAATGTTTTGTCTGGTTACCTGAAAATGTGGCCTACATCTAAATGATCCACTTTTTTGAGTCAAAGCATTGACTACATTAGATTGCACAAGTCAATCGTAAGCATCAGATGAGGTAGGAATAGCTCCTTACACTGTACTGTATGTGAATGCAGTACAATTTTACCACAGAAGGTCAAAGAGTGTCTAAAAGTACCATGGTATTATTTGATAGCATCACTGTACTTGTTTAAAGGGGGAAATAAAGTGAACTACAGCAATGAGGTTTGGCTCTTGAGGTTCTGTGTTGCTAAGTGTTTGTTTAGTAGGTAATGATCAATGTTTTGAAACACATGATGCACTAAATAGCTCCAAAAATAATCGTAAACAGATTCATAATTTAATGTTACATTTAATGTTAACTGTGGGACAAATACAGCATATTACAGTATATTCAAATAAATAAATTTTAATATTAAAATAAATAAACCGCTTCAGACGGAATTTCTGCCGCGGTGACGTCATCGGGATAGAATAAACAGCGTCCAAAATAATCGTAAAAATTTTATCTTTTCAGATTAATATTTTAATGTTAGGTTTAATGTTAACAGTGAGGCAAATAGGCTACAGTATATTTTAAGATTTCGTCGTGGTGTTCAAGCTGTTCACTTTTTGCTATTAAATTACTAAGCTTCATTACAAATAATAATAATGATAATTATAAAATAATTAATTAATAATTAATAAAATCAATAATGTAAAATAAACATAAATAACCATTTGAAATCGCACATACACGAATCATGTTCGTCCATGAAACAAATGCAACTAATCAAAAAGTTGAATCGAAAGTTTATGGATCTCATTTCATGTTTCCGACAGTCACGCTGATGAATCACGTCGTTTTAACGTCACTCTGCGTCGGTAAACTCACCTGTTAAAGTCTCCTCATGTCACCTTTATCAGAATAGTAAAGCGCTTCAGACAAACTTCTGCCGCGGTGACGTCATCAGGGGCGAGCTGGCTATTTCCCGCATCGTGGGTGAGTTTGAGCGGAGTCTGTCGTGTTTAAAGCGTGCTCGCTGTCAGTGAGTGAATGTGAGCTGCTGCTGCTGTTGTGTGTGGGTTTGTGATGGTTGTCAGGGGCGGGTAGATCAGCCTCATTTTGCCCTTTTGCCCCGCGAAACCTCCAGCAGCATTACATCATGACACGCTTTATAAACACCATATCTGGATTCTTTTGGGATCCACATACGTTCTATTAATATCATTAATAATTAAACCGACGTTCTAAACAATGCTGGGTTGTTTCAACTTTGGGTCAAATATGGACTAACCCAACTGTTGGGTTAACATTTTACATTAAATTTTTAACCCAAAAGTTGGGTTAGTCCAAATTTGACCCAAAGTTGGGTTGAAATAACCCAGCATTTTTTAGAGTGTAGTTTAATAACTTTTGGAAGTGCATTGTGGAGTTTAATATTCATGCAAAGCATTACAGGATTTACTTTCACTCAGAAATAATTACAAATACTTAATTATAATAATGGCAAAGAACATAAAAACAGAAGATGCGTGTTAAATCAAAATATTAATCAATAATTGAATGGTATATAAACACTGAGAATTGGTGTAGGATTACTTTGAAACAATTTTCACTCAGACATTGCTAGTAAATGTCACAATTGCAAAGAAACGGCGAGTAACACTGAATTAAATAAAATAGAAATGTATAAAAAAGCTAGTAAAAATGACAAAAGCACAACAATTACTAAAACTTAATATGAACAGAGAAAATATAATTAATATGAAGAAAGAAAATATAAAATAGCAGCTAAGTCAAAATATTATAAATACTATAATAGTGCATAAACACTGAAAACATTTGGTGTAGAATTTGCTCTGAATCAATTTTCACTCATTGCCATTAAATTTAACCAACAACAACAACAACAACAACAACAACAAAAAGAATCAGCAAGTAGCATTGAACTGAAAGAAAATAAAATTGAAGTAGAAAGGCAGAAATGGTTTCTTTTTTCATGCAAGACTCAGTGACTCAGTGTTTACAGTGTAATTATGTGCATGTTGATGGTGTAATATGAATGTATGACTGATCTGAATGATGTCTGTGCTCCGAGTGCTTGGTGATATCAGTTTAATGGAGATTTTAGCAGGTGTTGATTAGTTTTGTAATGGTGTATATCTCACAGGTGACCACCAGCTTAAACCAGCATCCCAGCGTCAAAACATACCTAACCAGCATATGCTGGTTTTTTTCAACAGGGTGTGTAAGTCTGCTGGCTTGACATTGCTCATGACAGTCCTTGCACTTGATGAAATGCTTCATGAATTCGAACATTGCAATAAAAAAGCACATCAAAATGAAATAGATGTTCATGCACTAAATAAATAAATAATACACTGGTACCCAGATCCTTCAGTATTCCGAATAGTGTTTTTTTATGTCTGGTTCGAGCTAGAGTTTCAGTCCAGACTTGAGTGTTTGCACAGTGAGTTCTGCTGCTTGTCGTCATGGCAACAAGGTTGTTTATTCTTCAGGAGACTTGAGAAGGTGCTGGAGAAAAGCCCAGCATTATTACAGGATGCATCTGTGATCTAGTGCTGACCAAACAGGAATTAAATGCTGGCCTCTAGTGGAGATTGCAGGGCAGGAATGACATGGCAGTCACTGTGTGATGAATCTGTTTTCACAGGCCTCTAAGCTTCGGCTGTATCGATTCTCTGCATTCATTGTGTTATAAATTACACACATTGTGTTCACACTAATGCAGTGCTGATACTGGAATGGCAAACAGGTTTTAGGTGCTGCTGGACTAAAGAATTAGACATGAAATTCTATTGTTGCCCCAATATTCAGAACTAATTCTTTCATTCATTGAAATAAAAAAACGTAAAAATACAATGGAAATGAAATCAAAAATAAATACAAGACAAAAAAAAAAAAAAAAGAGTAGTTGCCATTTGCCGTGGTAACTAACTGAAATAAAATACGTTTGTTGACGTTCTAAAATTACTAAAACTATAACTGAAATAAAAATAGAATATTCAGTAGACTAGATTACAAAAACTCATAAAAAGACAAAAGCAAATGAATTTAAACTACAAAATTTAAATGAAGACAGAAAATATATAAAATAAAAGTTAAGTCGAAATACTAAATAATTCTGGTATATACTGATATTTGCTGTTTACTAAAACTATTCAAACGAATGTTTTTGTTAATTGAAATAAAGCTGAATTAAAATATAAATTAGATTAAAAACGTCAACAAAAGTTTTGAAAGGTTATGTTGTCATGGCATCTAACTGAAACAAAATAAGCTGAAATAATATAGCAATTTATTAAAAAACAAAAATGAATAAAAATGACAAAATCACAGAATAATGTTACAAAAACTTAAACTGAAATTTAAATGAAAACAGAAAATATAAAAATAAAAGATAGTTTTTGTTAATGGAAGTAAAGTAGCTGAAAGCTAAAAAAAATAATAATTAGTTGCTTTAAAAAAAATACTAAATTACTAAAACGTAAAGTAAAATTATCATGAAAACAGGAAGGATAATTCAAAATATGAATAAATACTATAAATAATACTAATATATATATTTATTTATTTATTTATTATATATTTATTTATTTATTTATTTATTTGCATTATTTAGCCATTTATAATGATGGAAAAATAATGCAATGTTTAGTAATGTTTTACTGAAGAAAGAAAGAAAGAAAGAAAGAAAGAAAGAAAGAAATATTGCCTGATTCTGATGATATTTCAGCCTTTTTATTTGAAACTACTCCTAAAATGTGCAGCAGTGACATTTGAAAGCATTGGATCTGATGGAAATGCATTTGCTCTTGTGTGTTGCTGGTGTTTGTTTCTCCAGCAGAGGGCAGCAGAAGAACAGACACACTGTCTCAAACAGGTCCTGTAGGTGAAACTGCAGCGTGATGATTATTTCATTCTGGCCAGAGAAACAGCAGGGTGGTGTTATTGTTTGCCTGTAAAATGAAACGGAGGTTTGTCCGAATCAATTTCCACAGTTAACATGTAAACCTAGCAGCTTAGAAAAGTCAAATCAGCTTGTCAATCCGTGAGAAAGACAGCAGTGCTGCTCACTGTTATAGAACTGTAGTCTCGACTCGTTATGATTAATGCCAAATTCACTATAGATTCATCAGTCGGCCATGCATTTATCAAACACAATGGCCATTTCTATAACACCAGAAAGCAACTGAAAAATTACCCCAAACTTATAAGCAGTGACCGAAACTTTTCCATTAATGGGTGAAATTAAAATCAATTTGCAGGGGAATATTTACCTTTATAAAGGCAACTTTTCTAACCTTTTTACATGTTTGTGTCCGCCTTACATTTACATTTATTGCATGAATGCATTTTGAATAATTATACGACATAATAAGGCTGTTACCAATCAAATGAAATCAGACAAAATCCATCTTTGGACTGCAGAAGCTGAATCTGAAGATGCTATTAGATGCATTTACAGAGACTGTGCAAATATAAGATTTATGTTTTAAATACAAAATATATTGAATATAGAAATATGAAATGTTGGAAAAAATTAAATTATACTTTAAATATGAAACTAAAACTGTCAGTAGGTGGCGACATATCACTGTCTTAATGATTGATTCATTCAATGATTCATTCAAAACACCTGATTCATTCAGGAATGAAGCGAGTCTTTATGAATGAGTCATTGAATCATTGACTCACCCGATTCGTTAAAAAACACTGAATTACTCAAAAACTAAACAATTATTTTGGAGCAAAAACACTCAATATTGACAATATCCCAGCTAACAAAGATATGTTCTGAAAAGATTTTGCTAGCGCTCCCATTAAGTTATGCGAAAACGTTCGATATAACGTTATTTCTGAATGTTCTTTAACAATGAAAATGTAAATTTTCTAAAATGTTTAAAAAAAATTTTTTTTGGTTAAGCAAACATTACGGGAATGTTACTTTTGAATGTTCTTTGAAAATTCATAAACATAAAAATGTTTCAAATAAAGTGTCTCAGAAATAAAACATTCCATGTATGAAGTATAAATAACGTTTTTGTGTTAATGTTTTGAGAACGATGTTAACAACCATAACTTTGAATGAACATTCTATTAATGTTACTTTGTTCGTCACTTTGAGAGAACATTGCCGGAATGTTTCTTCTTAGCTAGGATTGTTTCTAAAATGTACTTATGTTATAATCTCTCTGTTTATTAATTATATACCTCTGGATAATATAATGGTATAAAACAGTCACGATGATCATCTGGCTCAAAGCTGATGCGCTCATGAAAGCCGAAGATACAAATGTTCATAAAAGCCCTCATTCAGTAAGTCACAGATGAAGGTCTAAAGGTTTCCTCAGTTCCTGCATGATTATAATGCTGCATTTCTCCAGACTCTGAGGAGAAGCTCTCCTGTGATTAATGGAGAGCGCGGCACCCATTTGAAAGGCTGTGAGAGCTCATTTCTGCTGGATAATGTCACGCGGCGTGTGAATGTCACCAGCTCCGTGTTCACCTCAGCTCATCAGGAGAGAGAGAGCGCTTCACTCACAAACTCCTGTTGTTCTCAGACGCTCTCAGGCAATATCTGGAGGTGAACAGATACATGAGAGGAAATGAAAAGATGTTCAAGTCTCTCCATGCACTGCACTCTACTGTACTCCAGTGATAAACTCCAGCTGAATCATCAGCGTCTCATTAGGAAGAAATGCTGTTTTAATTGCAGAAGCGCTCAGGGCTTTGGCCCGAGGCAGACCAGCATGTGAAGTTATGCTGAGAGTTATAAAGAGCACTGAACGGACCAGCGTGAACCTTTAATCTCTCAGACTTTCTAGAAACTCGAGGATACGAGAGCAGGTTATGGCCCTAAACAATAACCCTTCTAGTCTGTTGGTGTGTGGACTTTGTTTATATATTTTTTTTAAATGACAGACACACACACACACACACTCACTCACTCACTCACTCACTCACTTAAAATTAGAGGCAACCACTGCATTTTAA